GGACCCTGGGATCATGACCTGAGCCGAAGGCAGACGCTTAACGACAGAGCCACCCAGGCGCCCCCATAAAAAATTTTTTTTTAAAGTTGGTTTCAGAACGGATACAAAGTAAATGTCTCAGGTAGAGTTGCCAAAATTTAGCAAATATAAATAAAGTATATCAATTTATATTTGAATTTCAGAGAAACAACAAATAGTTTCTTCAATATTAGGTCTCAGGGGTATTTGGGACATTCAAATTTAATTAGGCATTCGGTATTTTATCTGACAATGTTAGTCCCAGGGAACAGGATGGGCAGCATTAGAGTGTGTCATTTGTATGGGTCCCTGAGAAAGAGACCCTACAGCGTATCCCATTGTGAGGTTAAATCCCTTGCATGAGAAACAAGAGAAACCTCCACATGAGCTTGGGGATCCCAAAGCAGAGAGAATTGGGTCTTGATTCTCATTTGGAATTCTGAGAGAAGACAGCTTTGCAGAGTGTCCTGTGATAACAGAGAACAATCACTAGAATAGAAACAGTGGGTCACATCTGGATAGAGGGTCTGAGGCAGCCACCCCACCTTTCCACGCCGAAACACAGACCCTCCTTTTCTGTGGCCTCAAAGCCAAAAGTTTTCTGTGAAGCTTTCCTGGGACTCTCCAAGAGAGGAGCAGAGGTTGGCTGAGTGCAGAATGGCAGCCTAACATGGTCTCATGGCTTGGATCAAAACTAAAAATTTTTCTGATGATGCTGTAACTAGAGGTGTTGCAGGGTCATGGTTGCAGCAGTCATGGTTGCCGACAGTGAGGATACCGTGGCCAGACGTAACCAAATACTGACAGGGATGGGGAAGCAGGTGTATGGATGCCATTAGCCAAGGACCAGAAGTCTGTTCCCAGACTCCCTGGCAATATGTTAGCCCTGCTGCAATTTGGAACCCCCACGCCTCCCAGAAAGACAGCGAAGAAAAAGGGAAGACTGACAGTCAAAGAGAAACTCACTTTAACCTGGAACTAGTTGAGTTCACCTTGAGTTTATCCACATTGTATTCCAACTTAACTGCTGGTAAATCAAGATTCCCCATAATATGCTGTTAAAGTAGACTGTTTGCACCTGACCCCAAATCTCAACATGTGTCCTAATTAATTAAATTCCAATCCATTGCTGCATCCTTAGAGATCTTGCTGAATCACAATTCTGCCATTTAGAATTTGAGCTCTCTCTGCAAGAAGTCCTTGCATATTTTAAACGTTTAGTTATTTATTGAGGTACAACCTTAATGAGAAGTTTCCTACCAAAGGACTTCATCTCACCACGTTCCCTCCTTCTGTCAAAAATAAATACACCCACACAAAAAAATAAAATAAACATATACACACACAAAAACCACAGTAAAATTTCTAAGTAGGCGTCTCTTCTTGTGGCAAGAGCAGAAAGGGAGAATAGAAAATCACTTTTTTTATTAAGAAACTTAAGGATTATTAAAGAAATCAAATGAAAAATATTCCTAATGCAGAACTACTGCCATCTTAAGGCCACTGCCCAGTATTACAAATCAGCTTTTGGTTCTATTTGGCTAAATGACTAATATTTAAGTGCTACCGAGATTAATTTTTAGGCATTTATATATATATTTTTCAAATTACTAAATAAACATTATCGTTTCCCTTTAAGCAAATTATATGATCCAGGGAAGATGTGGCGATTAGATTGTATAAAAAGTTAACATTACAATGTTTACTTTGGGGTATTTAGAAAAGCAGTTTTTTCTATGGGTTTTTTTGGAGGGGAGCAGGAAGAAAAAGAATCTTAAGCAGGCTCCACGCCCAGTGCCAAGCCCAATGTGGGCCTCAATCTCACGGTCCTGAGATCATGACCTGAGTTGAAATCAAGAGTTGGACATTTAACCAACTGAGCCACCCAGGCACCCCAGAAAAATACATTTTAAACTAACGAAAGAACAAACAAACAGAACTCTCCCTGCCCCCAAATAACAGTTTGGTAAATAACATTTACAATGTAGATATCAAATTGCAGTATTTTAAATTCACAAAAGATCATTTAGTGAGTTATAGAGTCTAAAACAAGCTAGCTGATCACAAATTATTTAGGTAAATAACAAGTAAAAGGCATACCTAAGGTTAAAGTTGCTAAGTTATAGTATTAACTGTATTAAAATATAGGTCAGTAGTAATGATGAAATTCAATTCTAGAAAATCAGCAAAAATATAACTTATTTCTGAGCATTTCTAAATTATTTCATAACTTTCGAGTTAAAAGGAAAACTCAGTATACGGAATACTAAAAAAATCCTAAAATTTCACAGCATAGTATTAATATTATACTCAAATAAAAATACCAAAATCCTTAAAACCAACAAATAACTTAAGCAAAAAAACTTAAGCAGAAGTTCATGTCATTTAGGGATCTTTCAAATGCAAATACTATTTACTAAATTTGACCCAGCATCATTGGTTAGGGTCAAATCTCCTTAATTAATGTCTTAGTTTGCTGAGACTGCCTTAACAGAATACCACAGACTTAGTGGCTTAAACAACAGAAAATTATTTCCTCACAGCTCTAGAAGCTGGAAGTCCAAGATCCAAGGTGCCAGTTGGGTAGGTTTCTGGTGAAACACTCCTTTTTTGCTTGCAGACTGAATCTTCTCCTTGTGTTCTCACATGGCCTTTCTTCTATGAATGCTTCAATGTGGTATCACTACTTCTTTTTATGACACCATCATATTAAATTAGGGCCCTACTCTTGTGACCTCATTTAACCATACTCAAAGTCCCTATCTCCAAAAATAGTCAACAGTGGGGCTTAAGGCTTCAACATATGAATTTGGGAAGTGGGGAGGGAACGACAATTCAGGCCACAACACTGACATATTTAATATTATCACTCAAAGAAACAAATTAATTGGTCTAAGAACATTGAACTCTTTCTTGGTTGATAACAGAACAGCTGTGGTATTTTATCAGTACATGTGATAAAAGTTTAATGTACAGGAAAAAAAGGAAACATTTTTATGTAAAAATAAGCCCTATGAAGCAAAGTAAATGTTTATATTTAAGTTCATGATTAGGTAAGGAGTGGGGGTGGGAGAGGGAACCATCCCACATGTTCTTAAAGGAGTTAGAATGAGGTGTGAGGTATAGGCCAGGAAAGGTGAATATAGCTCAGGGAGGGGTAAGAACTCTCAGGATGCCTGGAGTGCATTGTTTGCTAAATTCTCCCACAAAATGTCAATGTCTAGACTCTAGCAGAGAGCTCTTTGGACCTGAGGAATGTAAGAAATGTACAGCTGTCACTCAGCAAGCAGAAATGTCTGTTAATGAGCCTGTCCAAGTCTAAGGGCCAACTCCAGTCCCAGGGATACTTACATCAGGAAAAACAATCCTTTTGTACTCTTCCCTCTGGCAATGAATGCACTTGTACATTTACATTACTAAGGGAAGTCCCTAAAGTGGGTACAAGATACCCTTCAAGGAAACTTCTGGCCTTCAACGTGTAGTCTACCTGGCAGTTTGACCTGGGCAGGCCTACTGCAGGGGGCAAAGAGGACCATTAAAGTCAATGTCCCATGGCCAACAGAGTCATAAAAGGGAAAGAGCTACAAACTGTGAATCAATCCAGGTTCTTCTCTTTTGATTCACGGACATTAAAAACATGGTTGTTGGACTCTTATCAGTCAGTGAACAGCTCAATCTTCTTGAAGATTCTTTCCTCTTCCTATTCCAGAGAAATTTGTTTGGGGCTTTTTTCTTATCTTTTTTTTTTTTTTAATTTTATTTTATTATGTTATGTTAATCACCATACATTACATCATTAGTTTTTGATGTAGTGTTCCATGATTCATTGTTTGGGGCTTTTAAGAGCTATAATGGAACAAGTATCCAATTTATTCAAATGGGCCCACTAGGTATAATAAATATCCTACCTAATTGAACTATTTATTGCACTAAATTAATCCCTTGATTGGTCTATTGGCCTCATAAGGGTTAGTATTTGTAAGGGTTAAATGTAATTCTCAATGAATTATATTTTCATTATGTCATAACTATTGATTTTTTTTCCATTGGACAATGTTCCTTTAAATTTAACACAAGGAGTACAAAGATAATAGAATTACATTTTCTTTTTTAAAATGATATTGTATTTTCTCTTTTAAATAATTTTAAAGATCTCAAAGTCCTAGCTTTTCATATGGGTTCTCAAAATTAAATATCTTAAGCATCCATTGTATGCAACTTTTCTCCTATACACAGAGAATTGAGAGAATTCAGATTACTGAGAGAATTCAGATTACTGCGAGAATTCAGATTATTGCCACCTGAATCCTTTTGTGCTCTATAAATCTTAAAACCATCTGTGTGCAGAAAGTTTTCTATTCTGTAGCATGTTCTATCAACTTTCTGCTGTCCTTTCATTGAAAAATTCATTCCAATAAAAAATAGGATAATCAAGTAACAAAATAGCCAACGTTGATTTTTTAATCAGCGTTATTTTGCAATAATGCTCCTTCAACTCCTTCTAATAAATTTATTTTCTAATGCACTCCAGAGGGGAAATAGTGAAAGGTTTTTTAACTACTTAGGAAGCTACGAAATATTCAACCCTTAGCGAGCACGTGGGCCAAGAGACCTTCCAAATTCTAGGCTTTGTCAAAGGATATTAGTGAATAGAATTTTCGCCATAATCTTACCTTATTGCGCACAAGAGCAAAGGGTCGGGTCTAACTTTACAGTGTCCTGGTTTCTGTGGCACCTTGAAAACGAAGGGGAGCCCCGGCTAATTTTGTGGCAAAGGTTATGTGCCAACGGGGACTCAGCCGCACCCCCAGGTCCATCAGTGGTGGCGCGGCTCCCCGTCACCCCCGCCTTCGGGACCGCGGGGCGGGAGGGGGTGGCGATAGGGCGCCGGGACTCGTTCGGCGGCGGCAGTCGTCGCGCCGCGCGAGGGGCGGGGAGAAGCGTGGCCGGGGGCGGCGCTCGCGGGCGCGGGAAGCACTGGAGGCGGACGCGCTGCGTCCCGGGTCGGGGCTGCAGCCCCGCCCCGGTCCCGTCCGGTCCTGTCCCGCAGCGTCCCGCAGCGTCCCGCAGCGTCCCGTCCGCTGGCTCCTCGCGCCCTCCCGGCGCTCGAGGAGCTCTCCAGTGCTTCCAGCGCAGCCATGGCTCAGCACTTCTCCCTGGCCGCCTGCGACGTGGTCGGCTTCGACCTGGACCACACTCTGTGTCGCTACAACCTGCCCGAGAGCGCCGTGGTGAGTGGCGCGGGCTGCCCGGGGCGCACGGCGTGCACCTCGATGGCGGCCGGGGCTGGGCTTCCGTCCGGGCTCAGGCGGCGAGCGCTGCCGGGGGCCTGCAGCCGCCACGCCTCTGCGCAGAACTCGGCCTCCCACCGCGAGGCCGGGCGGAAGTGTGCAGCCCCCGGGCCCTGCCCGTGCGCGCCGCACCGGCTTATTGCGCCCAGCTATTAGCCAGCTTTGAGAGAGCGGTGGGGAAGAGAAGGGGCAAATTGTGCAGAATCGGGCTGGGGGAACGATTCCAGGGGCGGGGCCAGGGGAACTGGGGGTGTCTTTTGCGGATCCCTGGCCTTGGAACTTCCCTGCAAGTCATTCTGGGCTCCAGCAGCGCTCCGATACAAGCCACCTGGGCTTGTATTTGCCCGGTGTGCATTTTTCCTTTTGCGTGTCCATGCGACCACCTGTCAGGTTTTTTTTTTTTTTTTTTTTTTTAAGATTTTATTTATTTATTTGAGAGAGAGAGAGAGCATGAGAGAGGGGATGTCAGAGGGAGAAGCAGACTCCCCGCCGAGCAGGGAGCCCGATGCGGGATTCGATCCCGGGACTCCAGGATCATGACCTGAGCCGAAGGCAGTCGCCCAACCAACTGAGCCACCCAGGTGCCCCACCTGTCAGTTTTTAAACACTGCAGTCAGGGAGAGATTGTGTGGTGTATTGGAAGGAACGCTAGCCGAAAAGCCATGAGAATCTTAGCCCTAATTTTGTCTTCTACCAAGAGACGAAAATGAACATTTACTGCGCACTTCCTACGTGCACCATGCCCCCTTTGCATAAGTTCGAATCCTAACAACAGGCTACTAAGTTGGGGTCTTCCCAGAACTTTGGAAAGAAGGGGGAGTGGAGTATGTCTGATTCCACACCCTCAGGTGAATGGTCCTCCCTCCCCCATTCCTTCGGTTTCATACGGAAACTGATGTAAAAAATTCACAGAAATTTTTTAGTCAAAGATCTCTGAGCCTTTTAAAAGAGCTGACTAGGAGCACAGTGGTCAGAGCAGGGCTCCACGCCCAGACTGCCCAGCTTAGGGCACCAGCGTGTCCATTACTAGTTCTGTGACCTTGGGCAAGTTCCTTAACTTTTTTTCAATCCTCAGTTTCCCCATTTATAAAATGACACAAATAATTGGATTTACCGCAAAAGGTTGCAAGAATTAAGTGAGGAGTAATCGATGTGTAATGCTTAGAGCAGTGTCTGACCCATACAAGTGCTTTTATGGTTACCATCCAAACCATTTTTAAGCCTCACCATTTAGGTTAGCGCTCTGGGCCTCTGGTACAGACATCAGCCCATGCTGCTGCTCATCGGGGTGAGGTCAGTGCCCCATCGGAAGTTCAGGTACGTGTCAGAGGTCAAAACCGAGTGTCTGAATTGCTCATGTGCTATATTCATGTACAGATGCTAAAAAATAAAAAAGGTGTACCGTTCCTGCTTTCCTTCTATACAGGTGTTTCCTTGGTCATACTGAAAGTGGAGAAGGCTTTTCTTCTTGATCCTTTGGCTACTACTTTTTCTAGATCTTTGATTCATATTTTCCTTCCTCATGTGCCTTTCAAATTCCCTCCTGGAAAATGTGAGTTTTCTTGAATCTCCTCTGTGGCCACCTTCATCTGAAGGAAGTATTATTAAGCCACTCATGTTAAAACCCATTTTGTGCATGTGTGTGCATCACATCCCAGAATGCAAGATCCTCGAAGACAAGCATTCTTTTCTACAAACCTCAAATATAAGGGAGGCTTAAAGATTGAAAGAAACCTAGTGTGTTATGGATCCTGTTTGGCTTAGAAATCTTTTATGAAATGTCAGCAGTTTGCTTGCTGTGCACCATAATAGAGTTGGGTACAGAGATAGACACGGGCTTTCCAAGTGGCCATGTATTGGGTGAAGATGCAGAAGAGCTGGTTTCAGTGCCCTGTGGTGAGGGCAGTATTGGACCTTGCTGCAGACTGTCTCCTTGTTCCTGGAGGCCCTCCCTCCACCACACCAACTCCTCTGTCAGATCTCATCTTAAATAGCATTCCTTTTGGAAAGCTTTCCCCTGCCCCCTAAAGTTTACCCTTTCGTTCCCATCCCACCTCCAGTTTTCCATAAAACCTTTTAATTTCTTATAGCGTGTAAGCAGCTTAAAATTTCCTATTAACCTGTTGGAATCTACCCCTTGAGTCTAGAGCCGTGACTCCCTGACATCAGTATCTCTGACAGTTTCTTGTGTGTTCTGTGTGCTGAGCTGCATGCTTGGCATATACTAGGTTCGATCAGTAATTGTGGAATTACTGAATAAAAAATAGGTATTTTAATAACTGAATATGGCGCAGCCACTATTCTAATAAGCATTCAGTGTAAATGAACTGGTTAGATCTTTACAACAACTGTGAGGTAGTTGCTTTGTCACAGGCGTCGTTTAGCGATGAGGATAACGAGGCACAATAAGGATGAGTAGCTTATCCAGGATCATCCCACTAGCGGGCTTCTGTTCCCACCACCATGCTGTATGTGTGCCAAAAGGCCTAGAGGAGCCGCCTGGAGTGACTGGTGGCTTGAGCTGGGTCCCAGTGCAGGAGTTAAAGGGGGCAGGTGAGGAGGCAGAGGGGAGCGCTTCGGACAGAGGAAATACAGCCAGGGCAAGGACCTGGGCATGAGAACTCTGGGAAGTGCCGGGTGTCCAGCAGCAGGCGAGGAGCTGCAGGAGAAGATGGTGAAGTTAGTGGTGACTACGTCACGGAACACTGTGAGGGCCTCTCCCATCAGTGTCATAGGCACTTAATAAATGCAGAGTGTTATGCAAACAGGGGACTGGATGTGTCAGCTCACCTGGGGGCTCAGGAAAGCCATCCTGGAAATGATGACCCCTGTGCACCTCCTGGGGTTGCAGACTCAGAAGTGGATGGGGCCAGGCAGTTAGCCCCGATGTGGGAGTTGGGGTGCGGCCTGGGACAGCCAGGAGATTGGGTTTGCCTTCTGAGGACACAACCACACTCAACTCTTGCCAGCATCTATCTGCCATGAGGAAGTAGGGGCTCAGTCTCTTAAGAGATCTAATTCTTTTAAGATAAGTTAGAGATCTGGGGGCGCCTGAGTGGCTCAGTCGGTTAAGCGGCTGCCTTCAGCTCAGGTCATGATCCCAGGGTCCTGGGATCGAGCCCCGCATCGGGCTCCCTGCTCGGCGGAGAGCCTGCTTCTCCTTCTCCCTCTGTCTGCCGCTCTGCCTACTTGTGCTCTCTCTCTATCTTTGTTAAATAAATAAATAAATAATCTTTAAAAAAAAAAAAAAAGATAAGTTAGAGATCTGAACTTGTTAAAAAAAAAAAAGAAAGAAAGAAATCTGACCTTGTATGAGAAGTCTCTCAATTTTTAAATGTTAGTTCCCATTTTCAAACAGCAGGATTATAGGGTGGCGAGACAGATTTAGCACAGAAAAATACAGAGCACCCAGTTCAATTTGAATTTCAAATAACAAAAACATTTTTATTAGATGTGTGTTCTGCAGGGGATGTGCTTATACTAAAAAATTCATTGTTGTTTATCTGAAAATTGAATTTAGCTAGGTATTTCCTATTTTATCTGGCAACCTGTAGGGGGAACCAAACATCATTTGTGGTCTGCATACAACTTACAGGACATGAATGTGCAGCTGATGTGCAGTGTGCGTTATTAGTCACGTAAGACTATGAGCGAGTCAGTGGCCCCAAAGGCTGGGAGAGGAAGGGGGCTGTCCGTGGAGGCCCTGTGCCATCAAGGTTTCTGGGGTGACTCAACAAAATAGAAAAATATCCAAGAACCAAGGCCTTTGGACTAGGACAGGTTTCAAAGGCACAGACTCCCTTATTTTTTCAGCACCACTATTCTCTGGTTCTCCCGGCACATTGACCTCATTCTCTCCTATTACAGAAACTTCTCCTCCATGAGGTAAGGAACACAGCTGTGGACGCCCCATTGGCAGCCCTGCTGGAAAGGGCTCCTTTCTCTCAGGAAGGTATCCAACCTCATTGGAATCACGTGCCCAGATCTTTATCAGGATTGTTAAGGGGTGAGAAAGTACAAGACTGACTAAAGTGCCTTGATCAGAGGCGAGTTTAAGGTAGCTTGAAAGTGGCCATGGTGGGAATATTTATACCGTGGAAATGGGCACATGGTACTTATCAGGGCCTTTTTTTTTTTTAACTGGCATAAGACTGATAATAAACAGCAAATACTTAAATTGAATCTACTTCTATGTCAGGCACTGCTCTAAAGCACTTTACATCTGTTAATCCCACAGCACTGGTTCCCTGCGAGGCAGGATCATGATGTGTATTTTTTATTGTCCATAGTATTCTGGACCTCAGAGTGACTCAATACATTTTTTATTGATTTTTTTTTTTTTATGATTGAATGAAAATCCATAGAACATGGAAAGCCAATGATTTTCAGTCATCTCTGGGCTTCAGGAATCCTGTATGACCTCACCTGGACCCTACCCTAGCCTGTAGGCCTGAGATTTTTGGGTGGTTTTAAGAGCCGTAACCATGTTTCTGAACCACCGCCAGGGTTGAGAAGTGTTGATATATAGTGTTGACATAATGTGAGCTATTAACAATTGACATGGTTCAGGGTCACACTACATTGCATGGGAGTACATGTATAGTGATTTTAATTAGCTTTAGGACAGAGAACAGCTCTATTTGACAGGGAGCTTTTGGTTTCTCTGCACTCATCTCCTGACGCTTACACCCAACCCCCAAATCCAGGCATGTGTGGGCCTCTGGGTTTCTGGACTTGGTGTGCTCCCCTCCCTCTGGATTCACCCAGCTAACTGCTACAGCTTGCAGGGGTCAGTGTAAACATCATCATCTCAGGGAGGCCTTCTTCCATCCCTTTCACTGTGTCTCTACCTTCTTCTCCCTTGTGCCACCTCATGCTGTCAAAGAGGCTTTGGGTTAACATAGAGAAGAAGGGTCAAGTTGCTCAAGTATCTTCTTGCATACTGCTCGGTCTGATCCCAGAGCAGCGTTCTGCCTCAGATTCAAGTGCCTCTGGTGCTGGCTTAATAACATTCTTTGAAGGAGAATGGGGTAGGGAGAGTGTGGACCTTTATCCACCTTTTGCCTCCTTTTTGCTTGGCGTACACAGTTCTCTAAAAATTTGAGCCAACTCTTTAGAAAAAATAAGACACATCACTCAAACACTTGGGATTTTGTCACTGAGAAATCAGAAGATCCATTTATCTTTGTACTTATTTCCAGAAGCTTCCTTCATCCTTTTCCCTCAGTTTTTCTTATGGCAGAGAAATAAGATATTTCCTGCATCTAATGGAAGCTCCTTGATTCCTCCTTCAGGTCATCTGCCTGGTCCCCATGTATATTTCCTTTTGAGACTACCCTGTGTCAGTGACAAAACTAAAACAACTTAGTGACAGGTTTGATGTCCTTTATTCAGGGGAAAATAATCTATGAATTGGGGAGGAACAGTGCCTCACAAGCACGGTCCACTAAGGATGGGCTGAGGATAGATGTAATGATAGAGTGGTCAATATGTTTATCATCGTGGTGATGTGTTAAGTAAGTTTACAAAGCTTTGTCAGGTCTTAATGATCTCCAACCCTTAGAATTCAGGAGTAAGATTGATAGTCATCCTTGGTTATGTATTTGTATACTGGTGGTCTAATTCTGCAATATAAAAAGACACAGTAGCTACCCGGGGCTCTCAGGGGTGGATAAATCGCTTGCATTAAAGGGGGATTGGGGCACCTGGGTGGCTCAGTCGTTAAGCGTCTGCCTTTGGCTCAGGTCATGATCCCGGGGTTCTGGAATCGAGCCGCGCATCAGGCTTTCTGCTCAGCGGGAAGCCTGCTTCTCCCTCTCCCACTCCCCCTCCTTGTGTTCCCTCTCTCACTGTGTCTCTCTCTGTTAAATAAATAAATAAAATCTTAAAAAAAAAAAAAATAAAGGATTAAACTGCAGAACTTCACAATTAGAGATATTTCTCTCCCATCTGCCCCATGAGTAACTCCAGTAGGTTTTCAAGTCTGAAATTAGGAATGAATAGTGAATTTTATATTTAATCTTTCTTTATTCCTTCTTGTTATTTATAGCTCATTTATAATAGCTTTGCTCAGTTCCTGGTCAAGGAGAAAGGGTATGACAAGGAATTGCTAACTGTGACTCCAGAGGATTGGGATTTCTGGTAAGTTCTTTTTTTTTTAAGGTCTTCCCATTCCCTCTGATTCTTAAATGTTGCTGATAAAATTTTAATGCTTCCTCTTCTATGGAGACATAAAGTGAAATCTGAAACTGAGTCAAAGGACAAAATGCTTTCTATATTAAAAAGTTTTATGTTTCATGAATTAAAGCCTTTTCTACTTTAAATTTAGACTTATTTAATTAAATATGTAAATAACTGATTTGGATATTTGTGTATGGCTGAAGTTTGTCATAAGTTTCAGAGGTTATTAAGAACTGTCTCTAAAATTTACATTTTTTGTAAAAAAAATTTGCTTTATTGCCTTTCAAATACAGAACCGTAGAAGCAGAAGAATCATATTTTGAATAAAGGTCTGAACTGGGACATTTGGTTTTCTATAATTTGAATAGACATTCCTATGTCTAAGACTCTTACTGCTTACTTCTTTCCTGGGTTAGGTTTTTCCACTTCCCAAGGCTTATTTTGTCCCTCTTCCTCATCTAAACAACAAAATTAAAATCCTGTACTTTAACATTGCTCAGTGGAAAATTAATAATAACCCTACAACACACAGAAACACATGCAAAATTAATTCTAGAGCAATGATGTTCATCTATTACATATTTCTGCAATGTTTGGTTAGTCCTTTTTGATGTATCCCTTTTGTAAAAAGAAGAAACAGAAATATTTTGCTATATAAAACTGCTGACTCTAGAAATTTTACTGTGAACCAGAGTCAGTAATGCTTCTAAAGTACCCTGTCATTTTTTATTTAATTCTCTTGGTATTTGGTGGCCATTATACCTCCTTGCTTTTATTATTCATAATAATGAATCTGTACCCACTTTTCTCCCCAAATCCCACAAGTCTTTTACAGCGAGGAACCTAAAACTTAGTATTTGACTTTATTTTAGTGGTTTTCAATAATATGCCCTGCCCAGAGGTCAAGTTTTTATAACCTGACCCAAATGGAGGCAATTTGTGAAGAGTATAGGAGAAAACCTGGCTACAAGCTTATCTGGCAGAATATAAATGTGGGCATGCATGTGTATTTTATTTAATGAAAAACATTTGCACGTTTTAACAGAGACATACAATGATGTTCCTTTTTTTTTGTTCTCTTTAAGTTTTAGATTCCTCTTTTTTAAAAGCATAAGGATTTTACAACCTAAATATGCTGTCTTTCAGTTTCCCACGTGACGATTTTCCTTATGTACTTGTTCTGTGGATGCCACTTAATTTTAGGATTCCTGGATATTCTTATTTTTTTGACTAGCGTATCATTCATGTGGGTGGGAGAATCCCTTTTTAGCATTGTGACTTTTTGAAAATATAGATTATTATTCTTAGGTTAGCTGAATCTGTGAATTGATTGGTAATCAGACTTTTCTATTTTAGTTGCAAGGGCTTGGCATTGGATCTAGAAGATGGGAACTTCATTAAACTTGCAGATAATGGCACTGTGCTCAGGTAATAAAATTTAGTTGTGAAGTCAAAACTTTTTTTCCAGGACACTTTATATAGCATTTGATTGTTAAGTTCTGGGTTAAATAAGATTATTATTTTTATTAATCAGGTGACAGATCCTGTGCCTATGTTTCTTTGTATGACTTGTTTGAACAATTTAAATACAGATCTGAAAGGATTGGACTTAAAGGTCTAGTTCTTTTAAATTTAGCTCACCAGAAATATTTGCAGGAAATCCAGTAGAAATTTAATAACTTGCTTCATCTCATTGACCACCCCTCCCACAAAAGAGCCTGGGGATTATGTTGTGTTAGATAAGTGCATAGTTGCCTGAAATAAAGTTAGATTTCTTTTTATTAAGAAAGAAGGATAGAATGGATGTTGGGTAGGGGTTGCTGGTCTATGCACACCTCTCCTTCTTTCTCCATTTGTCCAAATTTGTCCCTTCTGTGCAGGACTGATGTTGTATTCCAGCTCCTTCTGCAGGTTTTTCTAGTCATTTCGAACCTTCATCCATCTCCCTCTCTCACACTCAGTGCTGACGCCCTTTCCTTCCCTCCCCTTGGGGTGCACCAGGCACTTTTGAGTGTTGGAGAGCGGGACCAGCAGTTGAGAAGCTCCTGCCACCACTGCTCTGAGTCTTACAGAGGGCGCGAGGGAGTGGGCATCTGTTTCTCCCCTAACACCAATAGTAGAGGCAAGACAACATGGTCACACAGCTGTGCGATTTATTATTTATATTAACGTGATCCGAGTTGAAGGAAAGGACACTCAGCACGGGTTATCCCTGGTACATACTCTCCCTTTTGATACGTCATTCTTTTTGCACAGTACAAACTCATACTCTACCCTAGACCTTATCCTAAGGTGCAGATAACTAGAGCAGGTGTGGCCCCACCTCTGAATATTTTGTTACTCGTTTGCACGTTTCTTGCCTTGGGCAACTAGAGGTTATTTATGTATGTAGGTATGTATACATTTGTATGTACGTATGTGTACATACTCTGTGCAGCTCTGACCTTAAACTCAGCTATCAGATTCGTACAGTGTACTTAGCCCTCTTCAGTCATAGTTCAAAGAATGTAAGGCATTCTACAGTTTTGGTTCTTTCTTTCATTGTTATGTCTGTCTGTCCTCCTTCTCAACGTCCCTCCCCTGAGGTCTGACCCCCTCCATCCAAGTTTTAGCTCCCCCGCAGTTTCTCCTGGATTCACTAGCTCATCTCCTTGATGCCTGCTTTCCTCCAATAGAGCAAATTCCTGTGCCATCATATGTTCTACTCCAGATTCCTCCATCTTTACATATAGCTTTCTAAAGCATTGTCCCCTTTATAGAAAGGAGCCCATTTTGATTTTTCCATTTGTTCTCACCCCATTGCTTTTCCCCCTCCTTTTCCCCGTGTTCTCTCTGCAGCTGCCACCCAGTCTGTGCACATTCCAGTTAGACTACCTTTATCTTCAAACGACAACTTCTCAGGAAAGAATTTTCTTGCGGAGAAATAGTTTCGATATTGTAGGTCTAGAGCAGCTAGCATGGGGTGGACCTCAGAGTGAGTTGCTCCTGATTACTTACTTGTCGGTAGGTGGATGAAATGGACGAAGAACTTAGGGACATGCCTTATAGAGCCCTAAAGGGGGAAATCATCCAGTTGGAAACGGAAAAAAGAAAACTGGGTTCGTTTTAGGGGGGACCACGCATAGCAAGGCTGGAGGAAGGGGTATTCAGAGGAGGCACTGATGAGCATTGTACCCCGTCTCCCCAAACCAGGGCAAGCCACGGCACAAACATGATGGCTCCTGAGGCACTGGTGGAGGAGTATGGCAGGAAGGAGTGGAAGCACTTCATGTCTGACGCGGGAATGGCTTGCCGATCAGGTATGGCTCGTGCGGGGCAGCACCACCATGGCCGCCCCTTGGGTTTTGGACCTTGGACCCGTGGTGTGAGGACAGGAAGCATGCCATCTTGCCTCCTCTTGGCCCGGATGCACAAGGGAGCAGCTGTGGTTTGATAGGAACAGGATGTGTTTTTCCACACGTGTCTCATGTCTCTTTGGCAGTTGATTCTGCTTTATTTTAGGTTTTGTTGATTCTCCTTTTACGTCCACTTGTTCTAGAGTGAAAAGACTAGCACCCAGGAATAATACATTCCTCAGTCGTCCATATTTTTTTATCAGTTTATTACATGCTCAGTCCTTGCTTTAATTTCTCCATTACCCATTTCTCCTCACATTCATACTACCCCCCATTTCTTGTTTTCTTGAATTCTCTTCTTTACTGCCAGCTCTAGTATCTTCTATCTTCTGCCTTTATCTTTTCTTTTCCCTTATTTTAAATAATTTCACACATTTTCCCCACTGTCTTTAAAGAAATTCACCATGTGTAAATATGAAAAGGTTTCTCAGAAATGATTTGTAGACATTGATGTGCATAAATTAATAAGGAATGATTAAGACATTGTTATAAACAAATAGATCTTATTATAATTGTTAGTTTTTCATTTGTTCTAAATTTTTGTGCCATCTTCTCCCACACTTCACTTTTTTTTTTTTTAAAGATTTTATTTATTTGTTTGAGAGAGAGAGAATGAGAGAGCACATGAGAGGGGGGAGGGTCAGAGGGAGAAGCAGACTCCCTGCCAAGCAGGGAGCCCGACGCGGGACTCGATCCAGGGACTCCAGGATCATGACCTGAGCCGAAGGCAGTCGCTTAACCAACTGAGCCACCCAGGCGCCCCACACTTCACTTTTGAAATGCACTGTTCTCCTTCAGAAAATGTAGTAACCTGAGGGGCACCTGGCTGGCTTGGTCGGTGGAGCATGCGACTCTTGATCTTGGGGTTGTGAGTTCGAGCCCCATGTTGAGGGTAAAGTTTACTTAAAATAAAATCCTAAAAAAAGGAAAGAAAATGTAGTAACCTGAAAATAGTTGGAGTTACTCCTTGTTACAATTAGATTTGCTGTGTTACATTCACTGCCTTTTGAGAGTTTGTTTTGTTTTTGTCCTGAGATGAAAATGTCAGGAAATGAGTGCTCTTGGTAAAATAAGTTGAGAGGAAAACAGATTTCAAATTGGGGATCGAGATGGAATGCTTCCACACATCTCAAGTCCCAGTGGCTGGTGGAAGTTAAATGGGTGTCTGTGTAGCCTTTTACAGCCTAAAACAGAGAACGGCTATTTGCTCTCCAGAAGCAGGCAGTTGTAGATAACTTTCCCAGAAAGGCCAGGCACGGAGTTAAGTGTTACACTCTAACATCCGTTCAGAAACAGAGAGTACTTAAAGAAGTAAAGTATTTCTCAGCCAGGAAAAGAGCATTCACCCAGGATGACCCACAGTTTGCTCACTGCTCTGCCCACTAGAGAGCGCCACCTCCTGGAATCAGCAGCTTCCCTCTGGTGCTCAGTTTACCCAGGAGCGCTCTGAGGATGAGCTTGGAATTTATCTCCTCTTAATTGGGTTGGTTAGGGAAGTGTTTCCCATTTATGTGCTCAGTGGTCAGGTGGTGGTGACACATAACAAAGGCCTATTGTTCCTGCCAGATCATAAGGGAAAGCTTGATGCCTTCAAAAAGGAATACTATTTTTTTAATGTAGAGACATATAAAAGAAAAAAGTGGCCTGCGATTCCACAACCCAGTTAAACTTTGTTTACGTTAAAAAAAATAATGTGAGCATAGGGTTAGAAAATTTAAATATTATAGAAAAGAATAAAATGAAGAATTCATTATCTCCAACTCCTGTTGTCCCCCAGAATCCCCTTTCCCTGAAGCTTATTTCTCAAAAGCACATGAAAGGGATCATACATTTCCTGCACTGTGCTCTTTTTAATTGACGTCTTTGAGATCCTGTCACATTAGCACACACACAGATGCACCTCGTTCTGTTAAATGCTGGTGTGCCCTGCCGTCCAGTGCCGTCCATCAGTCTGTTCCTAGTACACGTTTGCATTGTGTCTGGAGTTTGGCCGTTACAAACAAGCCTGCGGTAATGTTTTCATACGTGTGTATTTTGCACTTTTGTAAATTCCTAGAAGTGCTCTAAGGATATATAGGTTTAAAAATTTTAGGGCAACCCTCTCAGGTCCCCTCCATCTTTGGGAGCTTTATACTATCACTCAGTGAACTTTGTTTTACTATCATTCAATAAACTTTGCTTTGCTGCCCACCAAAAAAGAAAATAAAGTAAAATTTTGATCAGTATAGCCAAATAAGGACCTTCATTTAAGGAGAGCATTATAAAGTGCATTCCCTACCAGTACATTTAGGTAATTTAAAGCATTGATGGACAGAGACATTTTACTGACAGTTTATTTGATAATCCCTTTGCCAGTTGTTGCACTGGCAGGAGTATGGTTTTCATTACCAGCCAATTTCCAAAGAGCAAGTCCTTTTGATCCCCCCCACCCGCCGTCAACTGGTAGATTATGCAGAAACAGCTTAGTGTAGCAGAAACCACGGGGGAGGTGGAGACAGGTGGTCCTGGCTCATATTGACTGTTCCTTGCTGGGCAAAGTGATCTGGTCAATTACTAAGCCACTCTTAGCATCACTTTGCTCACCTTTAAGGGAAGGTGGTATCACTCATCTGCACAATTGAGAACATTGTGCTAACATAAATTGTTCTCTTGCCCTCAGTCACTCACTCGCCTCTGTTCTGTTACCAGTACGAGTAGGCAGTTTACAAAGTACGTAGTGTTGGCAATGGCTTCTTGGGGAACGGTTTCTCAGTGGACAGAGGTTAAGGATTATAGGACTTGTCTGGACTTAGAGGCTTGTTTTATTGAACAGAACTCACTAATCCCTTTATTGCCAGTAAGCTCTCTGCTTCTAAGGAGGGGCGAGAGTCAAAGCTTTCATGGGGTACAGTCTTTGAGTTTCGGTGGAGAAAGAGGCATTGAGAGCAGCCTGGCCCAGTTCATAGGTCAGGACTGAGCAAGCCTCGGTGTGTCCACACAGCGGTCATCCAGCCCACATTTGACAGTCCAGTGAGTCAGCCCCTTGGGTTGTGGGAGGGAGTCTCATTAAACCCATGAGCTGTTTGATTAGATCCCACCCAAGACTCACGATCAGTATTCCAGCTCTTTAACTGAATTTTGTGTTAATGGCCACAAAGGGAGCGACAGGGGAAGGGAAAAGCAAGGGGGCGTAACCAGCAGTGACGACAGTTCTCCTGCTGCCACGGTGCCCGGAGTGTCTGGCCACTCTGGTGTCACAGGCAGGAGAGTAGGTCAAGTGCAGGATCATGGACCTTGGGAAGCTGTGCCCACTGTCCTAGTCTTGGGAGCCCTGGAGCATCACGTGACCTCATAGCACAGCAGAATGTGAGCAGAAATGCACGTGGGATATTACCTCCCTTTTCCTCCAGATGCCTGGTTCCTCACACTGACAAAGCCATCCTGACCTTCCTGAGGGGTGAAAAGTAATCTAAGATGTTCTGCCAATAATTTCAGCTGTAAGAGTGAAAACCAGGAAGATCATGCCAACCAAACTATTTTTAACTGAGGGAAAGGATATGTAAACCCACACAGCCATATTGTGAATTAACAGGAGGAGAACTTTTGACTTTATTTCTTATACGTTCTTAATAATTTGATATGAAGAAGTGACGGGCATTAAATGACATTTAAAGGGATAGACATCTGGCCCCTGCAGAGGGTTTTCTCCTAATTTACCTGCGGCACTCCCTAATTCCAAAAATCCATTCCATTGTTAGATCATTCATTCATTCAACAAACATTTGTTGAGTGCCTGCAGTATGCTGGGTATCGTGCTTAGTGGACACTAAGGAACAAGACTGCTGTGTTCCATAGCTTCATACCTAGCTTGCAAATGGGAAGAAGGGAGGACTTGAAATCAGGCACCTGTAATACTGTATGCAATAGTTATGACCATTCGAAAAGTACTTTCTCACATTAAACTACAATCTGGCTTCACCTTTGGTTCTGTTTGAGTCTTCTTTGTACAAGGGTTCTCTAGGGATTCTAGGACATTGGGATCCCCCCAAAGCAGAGTGGTTGGTCCCGATCTGGTATACAGGAGTGAGACAGTGGAGACGGTGAGCCATAGAAGGAAGGAACAGTGGGGCCTGGATTCCACTGGGATCTCTGAGAAGCACTGAGAGTACCTCCCAGAGTTGTCAATCCAAGGGACGGGAGCCTTCACTGGCCCCTTAACTTGAGACTCACCCACTGGCTCCTGGTCGAGGCTTACCACATGAGCCACCTGGACTCCATAGCCTTCTGGGGAAAGTGCATGACACAGGTGTGCTTGAGGTGGGATGATGCCATTTAGCACAGCAGTGGCTGGGATCAGACAGGAGCCAAAGGAATGTGACATGGGTCATCAAGTGTCTGCCCAGGGATGGCAGAGTCCAAAAGTGACATCTGCACCAAGGAAGGGCTCCAGTTTAATTCTGTGCTAGGGCCAAACAGGATAAATTCAATCCCTCTCCTCCCTGAGATCCTGGAGTGCCTGTGCTGTGCTTGTGAGTTTTTCCCAGATAAGTACACTATGTCCTTACACGATGTGATTTTTTTATTATTATTATTTTTTTTAAATGTTTTTTTTTAAGATTTTATTTATTTATTTGACAGAGAGAGACACAGCGAGAGAGGGAACACAAGCAGGGGGAGTGGGAGAGGGAGAAGCAGGCTTCCCGCGGAGCAGGGAGCCCAATGCGGGGCTCGATCCCAGGGCCCCGGGATCATGACCTGAGCTGAAGGCAGACGCTTAACGACTGAGCCACCCAGGCGCCCCCGATTTTTTTATTATTATTATTCCTCCATCGCTCTGGTTCTTCTCAGGTTAAACTGAAGGTGGACCAACCAGCACAGATATGAAAAGGTACTGTTGTGCAGATTACCTCATGGTGCTCCAGTGTTAGGCTGATGGTCTTGAAATTCAGTGACATTGGTACCATAAATTGTGGCTTTTTCATAACCCATTTTATATTTAGGGTATAGTCTAGTTTTTACGTAAAGTTTTTTTTCCGTAAGATCCTTGAATTAGGGATATCATTTTTAAACTTTCTTGTAGCTTAACCCTTCTTTAAAGACAGTGAACGCCTGTAATAAAGCCATTCTGAATTGAAATAGAGGCCCCTCTAAGTAACCAAACCGAAGTCTGGTGTCTCTTCAGCCAAGTTTCTGTGTGTCACGTAAATGAGGTGTTAATTTGTTCCCAGTGTAAAATTTTATTCTTTTTTAGGAAAATATTATTTTTATGATAACTACTTTGACCTGCCAGGAGCGCTTCTATGTGCCAGAGTGGTGGACTCTCTGACAAAGGTGAGCCAGGGACTCATTTTTCAGAAATTATGATAGGTATTCAGTCATAAATCAGAGGACTTAATTATATATGTCTTTTGAGTGAGTTTTACTCAGTTTCTTCTTTGTGGTTTTGGAAGTGACTAAGGAAGAAAAACATAGAGAATTTGGTCAAATATTTTGGGAAAATTAAGTAGCCCTGACCATTTTTCCCCCCAGGGATAATAAACCTATTCTCCAGCAGGGGGTGCAAATGTCTAAAAAGAAAATACTTCACAGCTGGAAAAAATATTTTCTCGGTTTCATTAGCAGAATTAAAAAAAAAAAAATTTAAAAAATTCCACCTGTCCTTAAGCACTCTAAATAATACAAAATCAAAAAAATGAGATGAAGTTTTTAAATTCGTCATTTTGAACAGTTTGATGCGTGTAGACTTTATACTGTTGATGAAGACTGAATATACTTAGGGCTTACAATCTGTGAACAGACACCAGTTTTATGTCAGAATTACTTTTCTGTTTTGCATATGTTGTCTTTGAAAATCGTAACGATCATGTTATTAATAGAACATGGATAATGGTTTACTTTTGAGCCAGAGTTAGTCATGTGTTTGCGAGTTTCCGTTGAGCAATTATTTTATTATGTAGACGTTATTTACATGAGATGGGATCAGTTTTTCATCCATAGTGACTTCAAGCAAATGTATTAGTCTTCAGATATTTGAGAGTTTAATTAGAGACAAATGTCTAGTAGTTTAGATAGGAGGACACTGGTTAATAATGTTTCCAAGAAAGCAAGGCCTTGCAGCGTTCTGTGTTTCAATGTAATGTTTATTTGCATCTTGGTTTTAAAAAATCTAAAAGTGGTTTATGTTTTGGATTTGGAACCTCCTTCATCTCTCCTATAGAGATTTGCTGCTCTTTTTTATTGAAATCAGGTAAATGTGCGCTGAATTCTAAAGTAACCAGCTTTTAGGACTTTAGGACTTGAGGCTTCTTAGCCCCATTGATGCCCCAGTACCTGAAGTGGTACATTCTGATATCCCAAAAGCTATAACACTGTAAATTTACTCCTGAAATTTCTATTTTATTTGGGCTACATGAGCTATATTAATATTTAGTTGTATGTGTGTATATATGTATTTGTAGCAGTGATTTTCTTGGAAGATTTTTCTTCTTAAAGTCCCATTTAGAGAATGAGTTTTTTCATCGGTTATCTTTTCTAAATATGAGTCCCGATTTTAGATTACGGCAATATTGTAATTGCTTGCTTTTTTTTTACTGTGCTTAAAAACATCATTATTACATGGGTTAACATTTGGGATTTTTTTTTTCTTTTTTTTTAGCAGAACAATGGTCAAAAAACATTTGATTTTTGGAAGGATATAGTTGCTGGTATACAACACAATTATAAAATGTCAGCTTTTAAGGGTGAGTAATGTGAAGGGAGACCTTCTAATTGATGTTTTTAAATGCTGTGTGGCTTGTAAATTACTTTGAAGTTACCTATCTTGTTAATGTTCCTCAATTAGGACTTGATTTTATCTAAAATTTTGCTACAAAGTTGGTACTGCTTATATTTTAAGAGGTTCTTTTGAATTCCATTCTTGTTGCTTAAAAACAGGACTGGTTGACTCAGAATGGGTCACGGACATGGCCAGGTTGCACGTGGGGCCTCACAGTTGAATCTCAGATTAGCTTGGTAAGGTTACTCGGAGGTTACTTCTAAGGAGTACAGAGATGCTTTATCATAGATTACCTCGGGGACTCGAACCAGACTGTCCTGAGATACCTCGTGGACTGCTAGATGCTCAAGAGCAGTGTTTCTCAGCTTAGAAAAGGGTTGCTTTTTGATTGACATAAAATTGCCTACCTTCCTTTTAATGTAATTTAAGTCATCAAAATAATCTTAACTATTGGGACTAAAAACATGTCAAGGCAATAAATAGTAACCGCAGAATACTTTTTAAAAAAATTACATATTTCTCTGACACCTGCTTATTTCCTTCCCTGAAGAAATCACTGCTTTGGGGAGATTGTCTCACTTGTCTGTGCCTGGTCACCGGCCCTCAACCCTGGCTGGTAGGTCCCATGTGGTCCTGTGGGTGCCTTTTCATAGTCCACACGGAGTGCTGGGGGGCGTGTGCGAATGACCATCCCCAGTAGAGGGCAGTAGCCATGACAACTGTAAGAGCCACCTACCCCTTTATTGTTTTTCTTTTATAAACTTTGTAAAGTGAAAACCCTTAAAAGAATGGTTGAGAATAGCAAATTGCTGCTCTCAGATAAATTCAGCATAAAAATCTGTTGATGTTACTTTATTGCTTTGTAAATAAGGAGTAGGTAAAACATGTCATGCTTTAATAAGTGAGGCACAGCTTAAAAGTTTTAAGCAGCAATATAAAAATACAGTACAGAGCATGAATAAATAACGTCTTTTCATTTCTAGCCAGATTTTGAAACCCTTGACGTTAACTATAATTTCACTAGAGTGGGAGGCTCAAGGTCCATATGGCAATAATCTGTAAACCCACAAAATCATAATCTGTAAGACTCAATATGGAATTAAATCAAATTAACCACACTTGTGTTAAATAAATAAACTAGGTTAGACAGCCATTTCCAAGTTGTGAAGGGTATATAGAAAGCTTTTCTGCAGTCACAGAAAAGTTTGAAAATGTTCGTGGCTAAAGCACCTTGCATTTCAGATTTTAACATCATCCTTTGGTTTTTTATTAGAACTGTAGGAAGTTGATGTACACCTGTACATTTGAATAGATCTTGACAAAGGGGCCATGTAAGCCTTCGAGTAATGCACCATGAGAAAGATCTTAGGGCATACAGTGCCTTTTAAATTTGAATATTCAAGTATTTGAGTTCTAGAAAGACATGATACCCTCTGAATGTTTCCTAGAAGTTCTCCTGTTAATCAGTAGAAAGAGGCTTATTTTTTTTTTTTAATGCTGAATTTCTGAAATCAAATTTAACGTGATTTAATGTCACATTTCAGGGTTTCTTTGTGATCATTTTATTTTTTTAGCCCAGTAGGACTTTCAGGGTGAAATTTTTAAATACTGAAGGAGTTCACAGAAAACTTTAAGGAGCCTTAGGACTGCTGACTAGAAATTCAAGAGAGTCTTCACCTGTTGTTACTACTGCTGCTCACTTTTTCGGGGGGAGAACTGCTTGGTCTGAAAGCTCAAATCCGTGTTTGGAAAATTAAAATTGGTCACGTTTTTTTGGCCCACCTCCATATGCACTTTGTGGGGCGCGGTGGAGTTGGGGAATGCCTTTTCAAGCAGACTTACATTAGCTCGTCGGGAATATGCTCACACTGGTGCCACCAAGAACCCCGAGAGAGAGGAGTGGACATACTCAGAGGAGTACAGCCCGTTCGACCCAGTGTTGGGCAGCTGGAGCCACACCTGGTCGTTCTCCGTGAGATCAAGTATGGCGCTCCCCGAAGCCTGATCCAGGTAGCCTTTGGCGTATTCGTCATAGGTGTACATTACAGGGGTGCCGTTCTTATACAGGCCCACCCAAACATGGGTCCCTTTCACATGCACGTGGTAGGAGAAATAGTACGTTCCTGGTATCCTGCAGGTGAAGATTCCAGTTCTTGGGTCATAATGCTGTTGCCTGTTATACAAAATCTTATCAAATGGGATGGGAATGCCTACAGCTGGGTAAGCTTTGGAGAGAATGACAGTGAAAGCAGACATAGGCATTCCTGTGACTCCCTGGTTGGCACTAACAAAAGGCCTTTGGTCTGCCTTTATAAAACCCTCAGACGGGGCTGCTTGGCCTGGGGGGCCTGGGGGGCCTGGGGGGCCTGGGAGGCCGGGCTGTCCAGTGTGGCCCCTCGGACCCGGAGGCCCTGGTGGCCCGGTGGGACCATTGAGCCCCTTCATTGCTACGCCCGCTGGGCCAGGAGGACCTGGAGTTCCTGGATCCCCTTTAGATCCAGGGAATCCTGGAATGCCCGGTGGCCCAATGGGGCCTCTGGTTCCTGGTATTCCAGGGGCACCTCTTGGACCAGTCTCACCATTGGGTCCAGGCATTCCCTTCACTCCTGCTGGGCCCACAGGGCCTGGGAGACCAGGAGGTCCTCGAACTCCAGCGTCCCCTTTTGGGCCTGGTAACCCTGGGTTTCCCTTAGGACCACTGCTGCCTGGTTCTCCCGGGTACCCTGGTTTTCCATCTAACCCAGACAAACCCCTTTCTCCCTTAGCCCCAGGGTGTCCTGCAGGCCCCACTGGCCCTGTCTCACCTTTAGGGCCTGGAATCCCTTGGTTGCCTGCCATGCCTTTTGGTCCTTGGGGTCCCATAGTTCCGGGGGGTCCAGTCAGGCCTGGTTCCCCGGGATGACCTGCTGGGCCTTGTTCCCCTTTAGCACCTGGACTTCCTGGAAGGCCAATAGGTCCTCTTTGTCCTTTCAGGCCAGGCAACCCTGGTTTCCCAAAGCCAGGAGCCCCTGGGGGCCCAGCCATTCCTGGAGCCCCAGGGTGACCTTTCGTCCCAGGAATCCCTGGCTGGCCTGGGGCTCCAGTGGCTCCTGGCTTTCCAGTGCCTTCTGGTCCTCGTTCCCCAGGAGGACCTTGGGGACCTGGCAGGCCAGCTGGTCCCCTCTCTCCTGGAAAGCCCCGATCGCCTTTGATGCCTGGCTGTCCTGGAAACCCATTTTCACCTCTTTTTCCCGCTCCAGGAGGGCCAGGTGGTCCCATGGGACCCTGAGGGCCTGGAAGCCCCCTCTCACCCGGGCGTCCAGGAGCACCATATCCTGCTTCCCCTTTCTGTCCATGCACACCAGGGACTCCCGGTGCACCCTTTTCTCCAGGAAAGCCCCTGGGTCCTGGAGCTCCTGTAGGTCCTTGTTGTCCGGGTTTTCCTGTAACAGTAATTCCAGCTGGGCCAGGGATTCCGGGTGGCCCTGGTGGGCCCCGTGGTCCTGGTAAACCAGTTGGTCCAATTTCTCCTTTTGGTCCAGATGGTCCTTTCTCCCCTGGTTTTCCTGGGAGTCCTGGCAAACCTGGCTTCCCAGGGGCCGATGGTCCCGGTGGTCCGGGCAACCCTGGCTCTCCTTGGGGTCCGGGACTTCCATGGCCTGGTTTTCCTGGAGGTCCAGATGGACCTGGGTGCCCTCGAGGTCCAACGGGGCCTGGTGGACCAGGAATACCTTGCTCTCCTCTTACTGATACACCTAAAAAACATGCCCGATAGACACACCCAGAGAGAGAGATGATTAGTAATGATATTGCACTGTCAGTCCACTTTGGCAGACTAGTCTTTAATGGTTTCGGATAATACATTTTATGCTGTATTTAGAAACACTGCCAGAGAGGATGGACCATGGCTACTATAATACTTTCAGTACATCCTCATTATCCATGAAAATAAACTGGGGTTGAAGAATTTGTCTAGAGTAAGAGTACAGTGGGGTATTTACCCCATTTCTTTTGGGAATATCATCTACCTCGAGAGGAAAGGGGAAAAAAGGTATTGGATAGAAAGGAAGAAAAAGACAAATGCAGAATAAATGGGAAAACATTTAAGAACTATAACAGCTTTCTCTCACAAAAGCTATCCTATCAGACATCAGTGAGAAAATCTGTCATAGCCTGCTGAACGCAGCTTAGATGTATTTTTTTCACCCTCAGTACATACCATGAGCTCCTACACCCTCCTTTCATTGACTTAACATTGAAACAAAGAATTAGAGAATTAGATCCAGTGGGCAGAGTATATAAGATAGTATTAAAATGTTTATCTAAAGTTTTCTTTGATTAATGCACACAGTTATTGTTGATTTCACAGAGCTGTGGGTCCATTTGAACCAAATACTTCTACTGATATTATGAATTCAGTTCATAAATTGTTTATTCACTGCCTGTGACATGAAAAGGGCTCTTGGGCTACAAGTATGGGGAAGCACAGGATGCATCTTATAAGAGCTTCAGTCATGAAGGGAGTAAAACAAATGTCCCTGTGATAAGAGGTGTCCAGGGATTTGGTTTTAGTCATACAAAGGTGGGATTTAACAGAGCATTCTGGTATTAAGATATATAACTGGGGAAATATTACCATATCAGAGAATCTTTAGGCAGCAATCATCATAAATATCTATTATAAAATACTCTTTTCAGGGCGCCTGGGTGGCTCAGTCATTAAGCGTCTGCCTTTGGCTCAAATCATGATCCCAGGGTCCTGGAATCGAGCCCCACATCAGGCTCCCTGCTCCGTGGGAAGCCTGCTTCTCCCTCTCCCACTCCCCCTGCTGTGTTCCCTCTCTTGCTGTCTCTGTCAAATAAATAAATAAAATCTTTAAAAAATAAAATAAAATACTCTTTTCTTTCTCAGAGAAATTCTTCAATAGCTAGCAAAAATGGTAATAATTGGGTATGATTTAAATGTCTATTTGTAAAATTTGTATTAAAATAATTTTGTGTTTAATAAATCTTTAGGAAGATAGATAGAATGCCTGTGCATACTATTTAGATTCTTTTACTGCTGGAAAATGGTTTGTAGTTATGGTAGATTTAGCTAATGGCATAGTTATTGACTGGTTTGGTCAAAATCCTGAGAATGACTTATGGCTGTGACTTTTGAGCCACATCTTTTTTGTACAAAAGTGACTAATTAATATACTTAAACTTTACCTAAATTTTTAATGGCTTTAGAAATCAGAATGAAGAGTAAATTGGAATTAATATTAAATGAATTATAAATTGCCTTTGAAAACATATGCTTATGGGTATGGTTCACATTAATTATCAATTGCTGGTACATTATGATATTTTTAAAAATCTTTCATATTAACTGGCATGCAAGATGTAGTAAGCCAGTAGTAGTTGCTAATATTATTCTCTTGGGTATTCCTGATATTTGAAATACATTTGGTAACAAATGAAATATAAAATACACAGTAGAATCATTAAAGTAGATACGCTAAAATAGGAACATTATTTTAGACTTGGATATTTATATTTTGTACTAATTAGAGTTATATTTCATTTTGCAAATATTTAAATGTCTGGAGCTTTATTCACTCATGGATTTTCAGAAGATGACATCAGGAAGAAGAC